CTCTCTTCATGTTGCCCTTTGCCCCCAACATTTAAATGCTGCTCCCAGTGAAAAGCCACCTCCTTTCCACTTTCTCTTTTCACTCAAAGCTGAATTTTGCAGGACAACACTGCATTCCCTACAGTTTTTTAACAAAACTGCCTCATGCCAGGATTCATATCAAAGTACTATCATCAAACTTTGCTAGGGCTCCATTCTCACATTCTCTCTCTTTTTCAACTTTTTTATTTTCAGAACCTTTTCCCTGATGAAAGGCCACCCCTTTGGTCACTGTAGTAGAGTGAAACAGTACCAACTTCTTGTATTTTCACTACTTTTCACAATTGTGTGAAAGAACTAAGCCTATTCCAGCCAATATTCTCCTTCTGCTAAACATGATATTAATCTAATTTTAAATGCTTACTCTAAACTAAATGGGTTTGATATTGTTTTATACACTTTCCTATTTCAAAAACTTGAGATTTACCAGATTTCTTAAACTCTTGCCCCAATCTTATTAAACAAGTTACCTTCTATTTCAGCAACTGCCTCCATCTCCTTGTGGATTTCTGGTTGTCCCTCTGGACTGCCATCACAAAGAACACCTGCAACACTGCCAGGTTCTTCTTCTTTTTTGGGCACTGCTGGCAACATCCATGGGCTGGTATCATCTCTGACCTCTCTGCCAGCAGAGAGGAGAGGAGGAATCTTCTGAAAGCCACCATCACATTCTTTTCCACCACTGGTTTTGTTTATCTCTGTTTTGTAAGGCGATGTAGGTAACGTGCAATTTTGGCCACATTGCTCCAGGTCTGCATCACACCCATCACTTAAAGATGATTTTTTTGCGTTGCACACACCCTCAACGAGCCACTTCTCTTCAGAGTATTTAATACAACTATCTTCATTTGAAATAGTCTTGTTTTCATCCCAGCTGCCTACACTGCTACAGTCGTTTGAAGGTGCCACAACATCTTTCAGGCAAACGCTGTTGTTTAAGTTAAAATCCTGCTCCACCTCGGGAACGGACACGTCCTGCTCCTCAGCGTCACCCTGGAGAAAATCCTCATCGCTGAGCACCAAGACAGTGATTGGCAGCACGATCTGAAACACGTCTGGCTCTGCGGGCAGAGACAGACAATCAACGCAATTCCCAGAAAACCCCAAGCCACCCACCCTTCTGTGCCCAGTGCGCATGCGCAAGCACCAGCGGGCCCTGCGCATTTTCACTCCCTCAACCTTCCCCGCTCTCTCCGCTCACTCGGGCTCCTCATCCCCCGCGGGAGCCACGCTGAGTCCCTGCCGGGGCATCGGGCACCTACCGCTGTCCCCCTCCGGCTCTGGAATCCCCGGCATCTCCCAGCCCGTCCGGATCCGCGGTAAAATCCAACCTCCACCCCCCGCGCGCGTGCGCGGCGGGAAACGGGCGAGGGGACGCCGGGACGCCGCCTCTTGATTGGACGGGGCGGGGGGGGGCGTGGCCTGAGCGGTGGCACCGCCCGCCCCTTTATGGGGGGGCGCGTTGTCCCAGCGCTGTGGCTTTTAAATGTGGAATTTTGAAGCCTGGAAAAAGCTCAATTTTAAACGTGCTTTTATTGGTCTGAAACTGAATTTAACTTGCCTCTTACATGCGCCCTGGGTTGGGGTGGGGGGTTTCAAAAGCTCTGCGAAACCTATTCCTGTTTTAGGCAATTTTAATTGTTATTTCTCCTTCTGCAAAAGTAGATTTCAGAATCATTAAGAGTCTTAAGATCAGGATTGTTCTCACAATAAGGTCCTCCCCCGCTGGGGGCTGACAGAATCATAGAATAGTCACAGACAGAAGTCACAAAATTCGTAGAAACACAAACAGCACTATAGGCTTCATCCTGTTCCCTCCCCTTGGCTGATCATGCTGAAAGGGTGAGAGTGGGAAATACTTAAATCTGCATACAGACACATTTACATGTGCAAATATGTAGGTATATGCGTATATAAATTCTATATATATGTAGAGTGTCGCTGCCCACGTGAGGGTGGTTGGAATGAGATGATTTTTAAGGTTCTTTCCAACACAAACTGTTCTGTGATTCTTTGCTTGTCTGATTCTGTGAGTTGTGGTTGGAAGGGAGCTCTTGAGATCATCCAGTCCAACACCCTGCTGGGGCAGAGTCACCTGGAGCAGGTGACATGGAAATGCATCCAGGTGGGTTTGGAATGTCTCCAGAGAGCGAAAATACACAAAATCTCTAGGCAGGCTGTTCCAGTGCTCTGTCACCCTCAAGGTAAAGAAAATCTTCCTCTTGTTGAGATGGAGCTTCTTGTATTTTACTTTATGGCCATTGCTCCTCATCCTGTCACTGAAGGGAGTCTGAAGAGAGTCTGGCACCATCCTTTTGGCACCTCCCTTGGAGATATTTATATGTATTGATGAGGTCCCCTCTCAGTCTTCTCTTCTCCAGACTAACCAGGCCCAGCTCCTGCAGTCTTTCCTCACAAGAGACGTGTTCCAGACCCCTCATCATCTTCATGGTCTCCACTGGACCCTCTGCAGTAGCTCCTTGTCTTCCTTGAACTGTGGAGACCAGAGCTGAAGACAACAGATGACAGACCCTGCCTAGCAAGGTCCTTGTCCTGTCAGCCCATGGACCCCCTGCTCTCAGCAGCCTGGTCCTGGCAGTATTTTATAACCCCCCTCAACTGTGATCCCACATCCTGCACTGCTATAGGATTCCCAGCTCTCATTTTCCAGACCCTGTACTCAGTAGTGGTATCTCCAGAAGGGGTGGCATGTTTAGCCATTCCAATGAGAGGAATTTCCCCTATTCCTGTCTTCTCCCCCCCAAAAAAAAAAAACTTGTAAAGAACTAATTACGTGCCTTAATTTCAGAGCCTTGTACCTGGCATACATGGAGCTGCACCCATTTGTAGGTACATTAGTTCAGTGTATGAAATTCAGATGGCATCCTTATATTTTCAAGTAGAAGTGGCAAAACCTCACAACAGGAGCATTGTCAAAACCCTCCAAGCTGGGAGTATTAAATTGGGAAATTATGAGAGAAATATTGGCTTCTGTGTTTCAGCTCTCAGGGAATTTGGGAATCTCTACAGAGTTAGAGGACTTGTTGATACTCCAGGGTGGGTGAAGCAGATGCTGGGTGGGCAGAATGTCTTGCCTAGACTTCTTCCTGCCAGATCAAGCTGTAGCATGTAAAAAAAAAAAAAAAAAAAAAAAAAGTAAAAAAGTCTCGTCCTGGCAGACCCGTCTGAGCCTCCTCCACAAGATGGCTCTGCAGCCACAGGCTCTGCAGTGGAACAACCTGAAATTCTGGACGGATCTCAGTAATCCTGCCCCTGTTCGACTGGTCCAGTCTGTTGTCGGAAGGGGAAGTAGAGAAGATCTGAGTTTCAAGTAGAAATTGAGGAGGGAAAGTATATAACTTCAGTTGTAATTATCAAAGCTAATGGGAAGATCATATTCCACACATTTGTTGTTCCCATTCCATGGGTGACTTTCAAAATGCAAAAAAGCCCCCAGCTGTTGTAAAGAGACTAAATTGCAA